TGTGCGGCGAGGGCGGGAGGCCGGTTGGGGCTGCGGGCTGCGCCCTGGGGCTCCGTGCGCAGCGCTCGGGTCCCTGGTGGTCCCGGGCGCCCTATTCTGGGGGCGCCTGTCCGTCGCGTCCCGTCGCTGTGATGGGGCGCCGGGGCCAGTCCTGGAGCCCTGCATTCCTGGGTGCGGTGCCTGCCGCCTGTTGTGCGCGCCTTGGGGCCGGGCAGCCGGGCTGCGTGAAGGGACCTGAGCGCAGTGTCTGCCCCATCGTCCCTGAAAGTGCCTAGTCGCGGGAGCTAGAGATTGAGTTGAGCTCGGCGGCGCCAGAAAGGGGGCCTTGGTGGGATGCGAGTAGGGGGCGCGGCCTGCAGAATTTGGGTTCCCACAGGAGCTTGCGGCGCGCAGGCCCGGCTCCAGGCAGAGGAGACCACCAGTCTGTCCTCTAGGATGGCCAGGAACTGCCAGGTATGGACAGCTGGGGGCCACCGTGGGAGGTCCACAAGGATTATAACAGCACTTCAAGTCCCGGGACAACATAACCAAATGGTGAAAGCGTTTTCTTAAAGGCATGAATAGAGAGCTGTCAAAATAAGCATATTTTAAAGTTGGAGTGAACGCTGGCATATTTTCAGGCCGTGCAGTTGTGTGTCCAAAGAAATATTTTTTTTACACCCTTTTCGTTTTTATTTTTTAGCAAAAATCTGTTTTGCCAATATTTCTCTCAGAAGCTATGCATTGCCCACAGCAGGAAAGGAAAACTTCAGCAGGCGATCTAGGATTGCTTTTGCCTTCAAGTCTTGCTCTCCAGTTGTGTGTGTGTGTGTTTTTTTTTTTTTTTTTTTAATGTACATAAAAAGTATCTCTTGCTGGAATTTCCATGTGTGATTCTATCTTTTCTCCGGGACCCGACAATGTTTGTTTTTTGGTTTTATAAGCATCTATTTAAATTTAGTTTTTGCACGAAATACTCCCTGTTGCCACAGGGTGTAGTTTACGGATTAGAAAATACTTCTGGAGAAAGCTGCTAGTGGCTTCATTTTTCAAGAATGTAAGTCATTTCCTTTCTGTGATTTCAGGGAGTTGATATTTCACAGCATCAAAACTTTGTGGGGAAAATTTTCCGTAATACGTCTGTCATTAAAAACGCTTTTGACTTTTGGATTTTTCTTCTTAGAACAGCGCATAAATTTAGGCTCAACAATGTAAAAGGATAAGAAGTTTTTCAGGATCTACAGCATTTTGAGACCATTGTAGAGTAATTTTAACGTCCACCAAGACCTACAAACAGGCTCCAGGATAGGGAGTGGGGGAGGGGATAAGACCTAAAGAGAGGCAGGAAAACAGATGCGTTTGCTGTTGTTCTTGATAGTATAAAACTTCCAGCACCTAATCATTTTCCTCGGATGTGGTTTTGAGAAATAAAAGTATTATGTTAAAAATACTCCACAATTGAGAGAGCTGACATTTGAATTCTCTTTCAGTATGTTTGTAAACATATTGGATTTATATTTCATATTAAAATGGACCTTTGGGGTTATTAGATGTGAACGGTCGCCCAGGGGATATCTATTAGCAAGTTATCTGCTGGATATCTTCCCCAGAAGGCAGACTGACTGTAATATGAACTAATATCTCCCCCTTTGAATTGCTTGTAAGAATGCCTGAGATCTGACATTATCGACCACAATAATTCAGGAGCTCTTGCAATGCTCAAGACATTTGAAGGGACAGGAAATCTTTATTTTCACCCCTCCCCCCCAAAAGGAGGTAAGCCACTAGCCTCAAGTACGTAATTTGAACTTGAAGATTTAAGATGCTCCTAGCTCTACAGGAAAGCAATACAGGCCAGAATGAAGACACTGCTTTTGAAAGCAAAATATTAGTGTGTTAGGTAATAACTTAGCTACAAGTTCTTTTAAAAAAAACAAAAACAAAAACAAACAAAAAAAACATTCAACTGGGCTAACTGAATGGGTGGAGAGTGCTGTAGAGCTTTTCTAGTTTCTGGACTTGGTTTCTACTTCTAAATACACTTCTAAAGCTTTTGGCTTTCAGAACTAATGGCATAATAGACCGTGTTGCCTTTTTGTGGCAGATGCTTGAAATGAAAGTTTCAAACAGAATTGTTTTTGACTGAGCTATCAGGTTCAGAGTTTAGTGTAAATGAGTCCTGTCTTACAACTAACTTTTTTGATAAAGGAATTCTTTGTAGTTTTCAACTTGGATGTTGCACATTTTGATTTCTAAGGCTGTGGGTTTACAAAAAAATATAATAATAATAAAACCTGCAAACAATTATTTTATTACATGAAAGCCAGTACCAAGAAAAGATTAATTCAGTCCAGATGTTAAAATGTATGTGAATTTTAGATTTGGATGATCTCAACAAGTTTTCTCTTTCGTTGATGAGGCTGCCTGGATCCCAGATGGCATGCACACATTATCCTTTTGGTGGTTTTCTGAGTTCGGAACTGAATTTCATGGGCTTTTTCTACAGTCATTTTAATATTATTTTAAGTCTTCTACAGAATAGAAAGTTTTCTGCATTTATGCAGAGGTGGGTTTTTCCTATTATTCATTAATAGAAACCACAAATGCCCTCGTTTGGTAGAGGAAGCGTGTGTCTTTCTTAAGTGGGAGAACTGGAGGTATTCAGTATTGTGTGTCCTCATGGGCAAAGCTTAGAAGCTTTGGCTTTCAATTATGCCGATTCCAACTCTCTTTTTTTAAAGAAAAAAATATTTTAAGTGTGTTTACAGTCTTCAGCAAAATCCTGTTGGAACAGAACACAGTTTGTGTATTCTGATAAAGCAGTTGGTCCCTGTATGACGATCCTCTTATCTCCCTCTACCAAGAAACAACATACATCACTTATAAGAAAACTCCAGTAATTTTGCAACCTGTACTCCCAACACCAGAGTTATAAAGAGTGCATTGCACATTTAAAATTATATGTATTTTCAGAAGACTTTGTGTGATTACATAATTACACATTTTGGGAGTTTGGTTACATTGTGATTGTGCGTAAAACAATCCAGTGTAGGAGGAGGGAATAGGAAAGATTCAGTGAAGGAATTTTATGAGTGGTGAAATTTTAGTCAAAATGTATCTTTTCTAAAACTCAAACAGGAAGAATGTTATTGTTGGCTTCTGTAGTTAAACTTTGATATAGGGGGTAGTCGGGAGGTCTTTTTGAATTGCACATTATCCTGAGGAAGAGGCTTTGGGGGCCTATAAAAATAAGTAGAAACAAGTTAAAGGGATAATTTGAGAGGAAGGAGGAAGTAGAATTCTGAACATTGAATTGCAAGGATAATCTAAACTTAGAAGGATGAGTATTTAAAGCAGGCTGGAGTAGGGAGAACTTTATATTTAAAACTAGGAATTAAAGAATAAGTTCTTTTTAGCTGAGAAAAAAAGAATTAGAATTAAGGTGCCCTGTAAGGCTTATATACAACATTAAACAGTGTGAAGCGATATTTATCCTGGAAACTTTGCCCACATTTGTGTTGAATCATTGGTTTGATGTTAAATTTTGTTCAGGAACTCTGTGCTTATGATCGTGTCCCTCCCATCCCAACCCGAGGCCACTTCCCGTTTCAAAGACTGGAAACACTTTTTGTCTAAGCTCCAAAGATTCTACAAATACTCCATTAGTCCCCCAGGATTTGGGAGAACTACAAATGCCCAGTCCCATGCTGTGGGACCAGAAGAGCTCTACAGAAGTAATGGCTGAAGTTATCATAAAGTTTTGAGTGAAAACAAGCCCTTTGTACTTCCAGTTATCTTCTGTGAATTAGTGGTAAAATTACTTCTGATGCAGGTTGGTGTACTATCACTTTTTATATATATGAAATGGAGAAATCATGCAGATACCACATTGATCAAAGAGGAATTATTGAACACTGGAAAGGGGAAAGAAATCACTGATCTGACAATAGGCTGTATTGCTTGAGGAGGAGAAAAATGTGGTGCTGAAACAAATCCACAGATGAACCAAACACAGGCCAAAGGAGAAGGCAGAGTTTGCTGGAGCTTCCTTGAAGTTGTCTGGAGCACAGCATTCTCTTGATTGCCTTTCTCCACTTGAGTAATAAGCCCCCAGTGTGGCAGAATTTTACTTCCTCAAGCCTGCTATACTTCTGCCCCCATTGGACTTCTCTTTTCCCTTTTTCTCCTCTCCCTCTCTTCTAGGGCTCCCCAGTGAGACCTTGATTTATAAGTGCCAAGTAGGGGATATCTTTAGGTCTTTCCTGACTCATTATTTCAATGATCTGTATGATCTAGGATGGGCCCTGATTTCAAAGCACTGCTTTCTACATCTGTATGATCTAGGATGGGCCCTGATTTCAAAGGACTGCTTTCTACACATTTTTAGAATCGTTCATTCTTAAGAAAATGTTGAAAAAAAGATTTTTTTTTTTCTCTCTTTTTGCCATTATGCCTCCCTCTTACCTAGCAGAGTTTGATCTGTATAGCAGGAAATTAGGTAAAGATTTGGGCATTATCCAGGAAATTAGGTAGAGATTTGGGCATTATCCAGTTCATTTTATTAATGTGATAACTGGGATAATTCTGACCAAAGTATCTATTTAGAACCTCAGTATTTCAAATTGATTATCCTGTGATATTTTCAGATGTTTTCTCATAACTTTGACTTTGTACATGTGTATTATAGAACTTTGAGCAATAATGTTTTCCTGTTATATGAAGACAGGGAAAAGCAATATTTTATACCAATTACCACAGTTTCATGTGAAGGAGGAAATCATAAAAATCAAGCAAATTCTGGATGAAGATATTAGGAAATTAATGAAGTTTCATATTTAGCTTCTCAGGTAGTTTTCTGTCTAGTTAACATTAAATGAAATGTAATTAATTTTCTCCCTACAGGTAGCACCACTTATGCTGTCCAGTTTCAGTAGATGTTGGGGCTTGGTCGGGTGGATCTTTATGGCTTAATTTCTTTGAATTTGTTGTTGAATAATTACATACAACCAGAAAAATGCACAGATCAGAAGTGTATAGCAGAAAGTGATTATACCCAGGCAACCAGCATCCAAATCAAGAAACAGAACATTACTAGCCCTCCAGAAGCTTCTCTTTACGGTTAGAATCCCTGCTCCAGGGGTAACCACTATTCTGACTTTCATGCCAATGGTTAGTTTTAACTTGTTCTTGGACTGCATTTAATTAAGAGTTCTGTTTTATGCCTTCTTTGGCTTAACATAGTGTCATGTCCAAATTGATGCAGGTAGCAGTAGTTCTTTTTTGTTTCTGTGAATGAATATACCCAGTTTATCCATTCTGTTGATGAACATTTGGGTAGTTTGGGGCTGAATGTTGGATGTGACTTTTGATGACTCAAGAAAAATCAAGCACTTTAGAATTGAAAAAAGAGTATAGTCTTAAGATTAAAAGAGAAAAAATACTTCAGAAATGTGAGAGAAAAAAATGCAATATCA